TACAATACATATATTATTGCATTCGATAAGTGTTATCAATAAGACTAAAGATTCAATGCAGGACTATTATTAGAGCGATTAATATTTATCTTTGTTAAATGTTTTTTACTTCTAAATTTAAAAAAATAATAATCTATATAAATAGATATATTAATTTATACAGGGTAAATATTTCAGATATTTATTAAATCGTAATTTAATGAAAATTTAATAATTTAAGACAAATTAGAAAATATTATAACTATATTAAATTTTAATTAAAACTAGAATTATTACATTCTTTTTCTTGCTTATTAAGATACTTAGAATAATTTTTCAATTGTAATTAAAAATCAATGAGTAACCTAACATATTTGTATATATAAACTATCTTTTTTACATTTTTTAATGCACACAATGTGCCTCTAAAGTTTTTGCATAAACATTCTAGCAACGATGTATATGATATAAATTCAGATATAATGCAAGCTGTAAGTATGTAGACTCACTTTTTCGCGACAATAACCGCGCCAATCTCGACGAAGAGGCGGAATTTTCGCTTCGCGACAGTCTCTGAGGAGACTATGCGCTCCGGCCATAATTTTCGATATTACTTGGGAGTCGCGTCGTAATCTCCATAGCGAAAAGAATCCCGCGCGCGCGATGGGAACGCACGGCGTTCCCTCTGAATGGCGCAATAAAATTAGGCTACCATACATAATGCGTCCCGAGGCGCACCACCGACAGACGGGGCTCCCATACCTTCGCATTATCCCCGCGGTAATTCTCGGGTACGCGAAACGCATTAGTCATTTTCGCGTAGGGTGGAAAGGGCAGGGCGGCGGCGGCGGCGGCGGCGACGATGGTGGAGGGAAAAGGGAGAAAGAAAAGAGAGACAGAGAGAGAGAGAGAGAGACAAGGAGCAGAAGAAGGGAAAAGGGGGGTACGAAGGAGGAGAAGACTGACTTATATTCATCCACCTAATCCCTTTCTGATGATCAAAGATCCCCGACTGTTGGCGGCACCGCGGCCGCCACCACACTGTGCGCAGTTTCTTCTGCACTGCCGCATCGCGCCGTGGGGTAATACAGAAACGATCCGTGCACTTCCGACGAGCGATTCACGTTTTCCGCGGCGCGGCTACTTGGGAGGCGAGCCGGTTGAATTAACTTAACCCTAACGCCTCGTTTGCCGCACCGTGCGAGTATATAAGCGTGTGCGTACGCTCGCATACGCGTGTGCTCGCACTGATGTGCGTCGCGTCTCGCACGCTTGTGCTGGTGGACGCGTCCCTCGCGGTGGCAGCGACTGCGCGTCCATGAGAGTCCACTGGACAAGGGGGAGGGTAATAAAGCAACAAGACAATGACGGTGATTTACGCGGTCCTACGGCAAATGGGCTTACCCATAGATTTTTGCGCGGGTAGCACGCGCGTCGGCGCGAGAGAAAGGTGGAGAGGCCTCCGCGCGCGATTTATTAATCTCGTCCGCGCGACACGCACGCAGATGCGACTCCGACTCCGACTCCGGCCTCGGACTCGACCTGGCTCCTGCGCGACGCGACGAGACCAGGTGCTGGCGGGCTGGAAGGATTATTTATTTAGTACAGAATGCACGGCGTGTACGCGTATGAAACTCTAAAAAGATTTAAACGTATGATTGAAATGTTTTCTAGGTGTAAAATTTATGTACAAAAATTATTTTTCAGAAATTTCTTACATTTCGCACACGAAACACGTAACAAAAAGCGGATAAATGAATGTATTAAGTTATATGTATATTAAATATTTAATTTATAAATTGTTTCAACATCCGATACAAATGCATTCTGTAGAATTAACGGAAAAATTAATAAATGCAATTATAACAAAGAATAATTACTATTGCTAAAATAATTGTAACTAGTTTAAATTTGGAATACATTCAATATAATTTATAATCCTCCAAAAACACGATAGTTTGATTATATAAAAAAATTATATAAGATTTCATCAGTGTAAGAAATAAAATGAGTTTTTCAGAAAAAATCTCGATTATATCTATTACTTTTTTCTATGCTTGTAAAATAGGAAATTATTAAAAGAAGCATTTCATATTTCATCATGTATATTTTAATGTATACATATATTAAAATAATTATTCTTTTTAACAATACAAAAAACAATATTTATACAATATTTTCTCCAATATTTTCACTGGCTAAATTTTTCATATCTACATCAGAGAATTAGAAAAACGTGAATTAAATTTATTAAAATTATGCTAGAAATTTCAATTCCTGATACCAAAGATATAATAATTGATAAGATAAGATTGTCTCTTGTTTGTGAAAAGAGTTTTTTTTAATAGATCCTCTGTTTGTAAAAACGCTTATGCCTGTTCTCCCAAGATCTTGTTCGCGAGCGTAGATCACATTAGCCACGATTGCACGCTATTCGCAGATGCTACCAGAGTACATCGACGAGACGGTCGCGGTGCAATTGCAATTCCGAAAGAATGCATTACGAGAACATGCGAGCAGCGTGTTAATTCTCGTGCTTATCCGATGATATCGATCATAATTTTGGTCGCAACACGTTGAAGCGCGATAAAAACGATCGACTTAATCTCTAGCACGCCACATGTAAGCTGAACGGATTGCAACTTGCAACTTGCACGCCACTCATCACATATGCACTGTCCACGTATTCGCCTATTTGTATACGCGTATACAAGGTGCTCCACTGGTATCTCGGTATTTATAGATTTTCTTTAAATTATTAAAAATTGAGATCCTGATAATAAACATTGGAATAATATCAAAATTATTTTCCAAATAAAAGATGATAGAATTAAAATATTAATTAATTCGTTATTGACATAGTGATATTGATTATCACTCCAAAAATATTATCAATTGAAAACTGAAGAAAGTATTAACGCATATATAGGAGATTTATTAAAATTAAATTGAAAATTGTTGCGATAGACGATCGTTATAATGTAGGGTTACTCTCGATTTTTTATAATGACATTTCTATTCATAATCAAAGAGTGAATTTCCTCAGCCGATGAAACACCCCGTAAATGGACGAGAAACTGGCGTGATATCACAACATCGGGTTGCAGATATTCAAGCCTATCAGAGTATAAGCCGGTAAGAGTGAAAGATGCGCTGATACTCCGGATTTAAAGTGTATTCGTTACGCACTATTATTAATATACGTGATGTATCTACGACAAGGAACATATTCCTATGTTAGTTAAGCCTGCCAACGCCTACAGGAAAGCTTTTACATATCTGTATAGAAGACCAGACGCGACAGAGTTAATTAACGTAATTGTTAGTACCAACGGAAGCGCGACAGATAATTCTTCCGTTTGCGCGTGTAAGCTATCAAGATAGCTTAGAAGATTCGCTTTAGAATTATTGTGTCATAAATTTCTAGAGCGGATACTATATCGTTTTCTTTTTCTTTCATTAGTAATATCGAATAAACGCAATAAACGTTTGATATGTTTTTAGATGAATTAATTGTTGTAACATTTTAACAAGTACAATACACGAAAGTTTTTTTTTATCTATTCTTATTTTACATTTTTAGATAGACATTGAGGAGTAGTATATGGTTACTTTAAAATAAAAAATATATGTCTTTAATATAAAATACTTGCACATAAGTAAGTATGTAAAATGTATAATTATTCTTGAAAATTCAATTGAAAATATTTCGTATTTGATATTTGTATTAATTATATATTGTACATATTTGAAATTTTGTTCTAGTAATGCAATATTTTTTTATAACGATTTTTTCAATGTGCACATTACATATGAAAATATGGCATGATTTTAACAAAAGTAAAAAGAAGGTTAAGGTAAATTATATAAATGTAAATGGTTCTCTTTATGTTATGCAATATACATACATGACACGCGCGATGCAATTTAAATTTGTGAAAATGTCAGAATACGAGAAGAATTTTATTTTTCTATTAATCTTTCTTGTTATTTTTGCGTTTTCACTCGTTTTCCCATACAGCAGTTTATTTATTAGCAAATCTACAATATCATTGCTCCGTGCAGCATCAATTCAGATAACATCAATCAGCTGTAAAAGTATTGAAAGAGAGAATGTTAAAAAAGATTTAAAAACAGATGAGCCATATGATGAGTCATACAAATAATATAATTCTTTGATTGATTAAATAAAGTTAAAATGAGTCTCGGCAATTACAGTAATTTTTTATGTTATATAATCATATAAAATCATATTGTTTATTAATTTTATATATATATATATATATATATATATATATTTATTTGCATTAATTAACGAATAATGATTAATTATTAATAAATATTAATTTTTTCGTATTATGTACATGTAAGAATTTCAAATATACACTGTTAAATTATTATTTATTGTTATTTATTTATTTATAATTTGTAAGTTTAAAATTATGTTCAATAGAAACTTTAATTCTTGTCTATATTTTAAAATAGACATTAAGATACAAAGACATTAAAATATATTTATTATATCTTTTATTTTTAATAAAAGAAAATAAATTTTATGGCCAATTTTATAGTAAAGATAAAGCAAGCAGGAAACATATAGAAATTTTGTTTTGAAATTGAAATAATTAAGATAAATCATGATAATCTTCAAAATTTATACTTAATATGACATAATATGACATAATAATTTTTCATGAATTATGAAAAAATAAAAAATTATGCCTGATAATTTTTCATTTGTATAAGTTTGAAATTCTATTCCGGCAATACATTTTTTTGTACATACATTTCTTTTGATGTGCAAATTATATATGAATTATGAAAATATGGTATGATTGTAACAAGAACATGAAAAAGTTAAATAAAGATTATATAAATGCGTAAATGGTGTTTTGTTACCCAATTGGCGATGTATTATTAATTAACAAGTGTGCGCGAATAAATGAGGTGAGTTCTTTTATTTATTCATTTTTACTTATATATCTTTAATATCTGATATATATCTTTAATATCTGTGGAGAGGGCACTAGTATATATTGCGTTAACATCGGCATTCTCCCATATCGAGTAGATCCGTACGATAAAGAGTCTATATAAAGACGCATTTTTTTCGCAGAATATTTTCAAAATGTTAACGTCTAATATACATCTTTATCTTCTATCATTTCTCGTGACAAAGATAATGTACAGCGAAGGAAATTCATGTTCCTGTAAATACGTATTCTATTTTCTACATTTCTTGGCATTACGTGAATATCAAAAGTGTGTATTATGTGTGTATATTATTTTTTATAGGTAGTCAGCCGGATTCAAATTTTGCGACTGGTGTCAATCTCATTTATTATAAATGGTTCGTATTGATAAGAAGAGTGCCTTAACATTATTTGTCTTATAATTATCAATAATAATTAAAATAAATATTTTTGCGCTATATAGTAATAATGAGACCCCAGCAACGATTGCTTACCCTATCACAGCGCCACAAAAGTTGTTAAAAGTGTTAGAAAATAAACGAACAATCTTTTACGTCTTTGGATATCGAGAAACTCCGGAAGTTGCAAATGTCCAAGTAATGATGGAAGGTATCGTATTTATATGATAGAGTATATGATGGATTATTATTAAATGAAAGCGAAATACACAATAAAGTACTTTTTTCACATCAGCACTTTGTTATGAAAGAACGGACAATGTTGTGTTACTCGATTGGAGTAAACATTCGGACGGTTTTTATACAAAAACCTTCCAAAAGGGCGAAAAAGTGGGCAGTTTATTCGCTCGAAGTATGCGATTACTTGTAAATAGCGGCCTCGATAGTACGAAAATATATATTGTCGCACACTCTTTGGGTGTTCACATAGCTGGTTTTGTTGGTAAATGCAATGACTTCATAATACCTCGCATCACAGGTATGTAATTAAATTAAATTTGAAATTTTTAGAGCATCTGGAATCTTTCTTGATTGATAGAAGAGATGATAAATGATAATTAGAATGGAGAATCTGCATATATAAATTTAAAGATATTTTAACTTAATATCCGCTACGTTTCAGTCTGTTTAATCGTGATTATTTAATATTATTATTTATTATAATTGCTCATCCTCAACATTAAATATTTAAGCGTTAATTATTTGATGATAATATGTATATATTCTATTTACAATTTTTTGCTTAAATTTGTTGAGATATTTTTGTTCCACTTGTAAAAAAAATATCAAAAAGAGTATTTATAAAAGTATTAATTTATAATAGTAATCTTATGAAAAATAAAAGAAAGTAAATTATGAAAATAAAAAGTAAGACTTTTGTCCGAAGTAAAATCTTTGCCCGAAAATAATGTAATAATATTTTTTACTAATAAGTTATGTATATTTTATATTATATATTTTTATTATACATATATAAAGTATTAGTAGAAAAAATATGTATATAAATATACACACATATACATAATATTATCAACATGTATATTAGCAAATTATTTATTTTATTTTAATAATTCTCAACTTAAATAATTATAAATCTTTTTATGTAAATAATCAATGGTTAAGTAATTTATAGATTTTTTTAGATTTTTTAGATCTTTGCTAATAAAAAAAATAAGAAAAGAAATCCATGGAAGAATCTGTAGTAACATTTTATTTTTAAATTATTGTAAAATTTTTTATCTTGTATAGGATTAGATCCTGCAAATCCTTTATTTTATCCTTTCGGATGCTATCTCACACCTAAAGATGCGACATGGATCGATATCATTCATACAGATAGCGGAGGATATGGCACTCTTAGACATATGGGAACAGCGGAGTATTATGTAAACGGTGGCACACGTTTTCAGCCTGGTTGCAAACTTGGTCTCCCATTAAGCAAAACTGGTGAGAACCAATGTCTTAAAATATGTTATCGTTAATTCTTTATAAATTAACATTTGCCGCCTAATATATTATACAAACAAATTTTAATATTTAAAACATTTTATAAAACTAAAAACAAGATAATTTCATATGTAATTATATTTTAAATATAATTAATTTCAAATATGTTTAATCAACTAACATTTCAAATATAATTAATCAACTAAGATCAATTACTGTTTGAAGTATTTTGAAAATTAATTTTCGAAGAATTATCGATGTTGCAATTCATTCGATATAAATCTACAAAAATTTAAATTAAACCAATATATCTCGATATAGAAATTTATTTTATTATTATTAGATTTTTGCAGTCATCAAAAATCAGTTAAACTGTATGCAGAATCGAAACGTCATCCTACAGAATTTATTGCGGTAAATTGTTCTTCCTATATTAATTATAAAAAGAATGACTGCAAAGACAACCTGCAGACTAACGTTGGATATGCTGCATCGAATGTGTAAGATAATAATTAATATTTTACTTATTTATATTTAGTAAGCGTAAAAATTAAAAATTATTTTTATATAATAAAAAATATTAATCTACAATATTTTTTTGCAGACACGGATCATTTTATTTCTCTACGGGAATTATATAATAAAAATTATTCATGCATTTTTTTAGTTCGACATTAAATGTGACATAATCTGTAATAGTTCTATGAGCTAATCATAGGCACCGAAACTACTTTCACGAAATGCCCTCGTATTTATGTTAATTTGTGTTGGATCGTAAAATAAAACAGCACGATCTGAACAATCACCTGCATCAACGTATCAGCCTTCTTTCGAGACAATTATTCAACAGCTTTGATATTCGAATGTTTGTCTTAATCTGTTTCTTTAAATAAGAAATAAGAAAGTAGCGCAATATACAGCACAATAAATATAATATTCTAAAAATGAAGCATCTTAATATCTATCACTCGAGCACTTATCTACAATTTTTTTCCACAGCTATATTTATACATATAATTACAAAATTGTGTACAAATCGTATATTTAACCGAACAAGATGTTATGAGTCGCAGATTATATTAATCCATCATAATTATTTTTTCCGTCGTACGCAATTTCTCAGCTAGTTACTAAATCCAAAGCCGCATCGCATAAATATACTCGGCGCTTTCAATAAGGAATATCGCTACTAATTCCGGCTTAATGAGAGCTAAGGGAGACATTGATTACTGGCGGGAGACGTACATTAGAATCACATAAAATAAACCATGGCAGTTGAACGACGAAGAACATCTCGTTTTCTTTCTTTTCTCTTTTTGGAGAGAAAAGAGTATAATTTACAAAATAGAACAAAGATAACTCTTAAACGATTTTTGCTCGGTTAAGTGCTTACGTCATATGAGTGTTATATTATTCGCACAAGAGAGAAATGCATCGCATTGAACGCATTAAATGCATTGCAATATAAACAGATTCTTGTCATTGCTTCCGGTCATTTAAATATTGAGATTTTATTCAAAATTCTAACAGAATCATTCATTCATTTACTTCGTTCTATGACAAACATTATCACTCCATATAAAAGAACATGAGATGATCAATTAATAATTGATATTATTGTAAAATACTATAAGTATATCGCACTATTGTGATACAGTATGACAAAAATTTTGAGTTTATAAATATTATTGCTATTGAGAGAGGAAAAATAATTACATTCATAATTTTAAAATATATATGCAAGGCACGGCATTAATGCAGTTTTTAAAAGACGCAATTACGTAGGATAAAAGTGTCGGCTTCTCCGAATAAACTATGGCATTGGACGCAAATAGTTGTATGCATTCCTTTGTCTGCCACGATCAAATATATTGCCTTTGTTTCGGATACATAAATGGCACTTCCGCCCACATATATTGCGCGCACGTATATGAGGAACTAAGAGCCAATTTATACATATGGTTGACTGACGCACGAACGACCGATTATAATTTCATATTGAACACCGATCGTCATGAATAATTGATACAAATTGTTTCCATCCCTCGACGGACAATCCTTTTATCGAGTGCTCGCACGCATTCCGCAGACATCCTCGAAAGATATGTATCACTATTATGATTGCAAATGTTGAGTCGAAGCTTTTAAAGTACTGTATAAATTTGAATATGCACAAGTTACCATCGCAAAATAGAAGATACTAACATTAAAAATTCGAGTTATCCTCTATATTAAAGAATTGCTAAATAAAATACATATATATTGAAAATATATATGTAAATATATATATTATGTTGACGTCATCTTCGAAGATCAAATGTTGAGGGAATCTTTGCCGTAAAATTATCGCGTCTGCTATTCGTTTTGTTTCCATTCTAACTAGTCTACTAAATATAATTACGCTTGATACAGAAAGTGGTTAGTGCTTGTTTGCGTTTTTTATCTATTCCATTTCTTTTTTCGGTTGCCTTATGAACGTTTCTTTTAGAAACTGATTGTGTCAATTCTTACTGAGAACGTCGCGTGCAGCTGCATCGTTGTAAAGCGGATTTCATTTAAAGAAACGCAACGGAAGAAGGCGGAAAGAAAAGGAAGAGATGTACATAGGTAGAACTCGACTATATAATTTTAACGCACTTGTGGTCGCGTTTAATCACGACCAACGAGGGAAAATAAAATTTAATGGAATATTTATAGAATGATCCAGGTTTCGATTGGAAAACTATATATGCAAATACATATATATATGTATATATATATGTATATATATATATATATATATATATATATATGTATAAACTCTAATAAATTTAGCGATACGTTGTTTGAAAAGTTGTTTAAAGCATTGCAAACTAAAAGTCTTTTTTAATCGTTTTGAACATTTTCCTTCTTATAAATTTGTAATTGTTAACATAATGTTCAATGTATAAAATAAATAGCAATTACATAATAATAAATTAATACATTAATTTTTTAAATTATATCATGAAAAATGTCCTATAAGATTAAGAATATCACATAAGCATTATTAGAATCCCTTACGAATATCATATAAGCATTATTAGAATCCCCCGTTTTATTGCTCTTTGCTTTGTCTGCATTTTTGTTCTATTTTATATAAATAGAAAAATTACCTCTGATGTGATCACATTAGTTTCGAGCAAAATTTTTCAATCCAGCCGTGTATCGTCCTATAGAAAATTTCCAGTTCGGCGAATGAAGGTGAAATGACTTCAAGTTGGAAATCGCGTGAACGGACGATGCCTTTCGACTTTAGTATCATTGGCGGTAAATTAAAAGCCGGCCCTCAAAGGCGCGTTACGCACGCAAACGAATTCTAATTGTAAGTCGATGAAATGCTTGGAAAAGGAACGCGGGATGCTCGCGGTGTTATCCTTAACCGTGCAACGTATTGATGATCTTCGCGCCTTGTTAACTTTGAATCTCCATCTTCATTTCCGACGAATAATATCAGATTTTGCGCTAAATAAAAGTGGCAGTAGGCTGTATAATTTTTAACAATATGAAACAAGGGAATATATTTATTTCGAGGATGTTTTACTTAATTCCAATTTTGTTTTTTTTTTAACTTTGTATATAAATTATTATGTGCTAAATAAAAGTGACAATAGGCTATGTAATCTTTAACAATATGAAACAAGGGAATATATTTACTTCAAAAATGTTTTATACTTCCAATTTTGTGTCTTTTAACTTTATATATAAGTTATTATATAATTTATACATGCATAGAGAAGAAAAAAGAATTGTTCAATGAATTTATTTCGATCTTTCTTAAAATTGTCTTTTAATTATAATAAAAAAATAATTATATTTTAATTATCCCAGTTTGCACTTATATAAAGTCTTACATTTTAATTCAATTTACGAGTTGTAAATTTGACTGAGCTCATTGTTCGATAGATTAAATAGATCTAATAATTTGTCAGCTTTCGAAGCTGCAGATATTGTGCAGAAAATATTATACTTTGAGATAAAATATGACAGAATAAAGTCGGAATCTTCTTTTTCATTGCACTCGTCTCATAATGAAGATCGTGTCGAACATCTGCTATAACAAGCGTAGCACGATATATCACACGTTGTACGAAGATCATCCCCTCGTGATTTATTACACATTATGCTTGAGCATTATCGGACTGCGCATCGCGGCGCCTCACATGATGTCCATCAAGAAGCAATAATTAAAAAGAAAAGGGTTTAAATCGCTTGGACGTGCACGAGATCGGCCATCTGCTTCGCGCGATTGGGATAAGAATGGTATAAGTCATGCTTACTATGAGATATCGTCGTTGAAACATGGAGCGCTTGCGTTAACGATCGTATTTGTAATATTCCACTAATACTTTCTTTCTGATAATAAAAAAATTGGGCGTCGTGTACATACAAACGAGTGTGTAAAGAAATTTTTAAGCGAAACCATCATTTGTCGTGACTTTTATATAACGCGAAATATAATATCTTTAATCAAATTCCGAATTTAAAAATTTTGCATTTTTTAAATCTATTTAAATAAGTACATAATAAGTTTTCAATATATCTAATTCTGAATTATTTACATATAAACATTTTCTTTACTCTTTTACATAATACTCGAAAAATAGAGATGGTTCTATAAACTAAGATAATATCTTAACTCAAAAGTGAAAAATTTTTCCTTAAAATCACGAGATAAGAAGATACAACTTAAGAAATGATTAAACTACTTTTCAAGACTATTTGTAATTTAATTTATTTTCAAAATTACAATCGCATTTTTTTTCAAGACTATTCGTGCGATTCAAAATATTTCGCGTGTCTGTTCCAGAGCGATATAGCTTTAACTGCGCGTGGTCGTTGTCGGAATAATCGCCGAGTTGATCATCGCGAGAGACGCGCAGAAATAGAGAGAGCAAGAGAAAAAGAGAGAGATTTAGAGAGAAATAGAGTTCTCCATTGCACCGCACGACAATGCGCTTCGACTCTGATGTGCCTACCGCCGCGACTCCAAGCCTGGTGCAACCGAGAGAAAGATAGATAGATAGATAGATAGATAGATCGATAGAGAGAGAGAAAGAAAAAGAGAGGGAGAAAGAGAAAATGAAAGAGGACTAGTCTCTCTTCTCCAGAGGGTATATTTCTTTGATCTCGATTTTTGTCCCGCCTCTTGCCACCCCTTTCACCCCTCTCTCCCTTCAACCGTGAAGAGCTCAAGACCGGTTAATCCAGATTAACTTTGAGCCCGAGCAGATAGATATACACACACACATACACATATATAGACACATATGCGTGTGTATCGTATTGATAGGTGTATACGCGGGGTGCAAAAATTTCACGCGCATCTAGACAGCTTCGCGCGACTTCCCGTGGAAAGGCCCTTTCTTACAATCCCACTATTGCGTTTTACAAAGTCGCGGCTTTAATCGCATTTATGTGATTATGTGATTAAGCAGGTATATACTTTTTCAATCGCATTTTTCATCGCCAGCAATTTGCAGCCAATAATAGATTCTATATCTATTTTTATATGTTTTCTTGCAATTATAATAACGGTTATTTAATAACATCATTACTAAATTTTTAAATTTTATATAAAGTATTATACGTATATACGTCATATCAGTCCGTTTCTATATAATATATATGCTATATCTTAAATTTTATCGCAGATTATAAATGCCATATGTAAAGAAGCTAATGAAATAGATACAAGCTATATATTTTTTTTATAATACAAGCATATTTTTACTATTAAAAGTATCTCATTTCCCTTAAAAAAAAACACGCGATTACAAATAACGCGACTCTATCATGCACTTCATCAATAAGCGATGCATGCATTATACTTTCTGTTCATGGACACATTGATTTTTGCATCCCTGACCTGAGTTTTGTACAAAATGACAAACATTGT